AAAAAAAAAAAAAATTCAGTAACATTATAGGACATAACAGAGAAAGGATGGTCTCTTCAATAGTGTTGGAAAACGGGATATCCACAAGCAGGAGGATGAAACTGAATGCTTACCTCACATCAAATACAAAAATCAACTCGAAATGGACTAAAGACTTAAACATAAGACCTGGAACTGTAAAACTAATAGAAGAAAACATAGGGAATAACTCCATGACCCTGGTCTGGGCAATGATTTTTTGGATGTAACCCAAAAGTACAGGCAACAAAAGCAAAGACACACAAGATTGTATCAAACAAAAAAGCTTCTGCACAGCAAAGGAAACAATCAACGGAGTGAAAAGTCAACCCACAGACCAGGAAAAAATATTTGCAAACCATACATCTGACAAGGGGCTAATATCCAAAACACGAGAATATAAGGAACTCAACTCAATAGCAAGAAAACAAATACCCCAATCAAAAAATGGGCAAAGAATCTAAGTAGCCACTTCTCAAAAGAAGACATACAAGTGACTAACAGATCAACGAAAAAATGTTCTTCATCACTGATCATCAGGGAAATGCAAATTAAAACCACAATAAGATATCACATCTCACCTTTTAGAATGGTTATTATCAATAAGATGAAAGATAAGTGCTAGTGAGGGTGTGAAGAAAGGGAACCCTTGTGCACAGTCAGCAGAAATGTAAATTCATATAGCCATTATGGAAAACAGTATTGAGTTTTCTCAGAAAACTATAAACAGAATTACCATATGATCCAGTAATCCCACTTCTGGCTAGATCCAAAGGAATTGAAATCAGTATGCCAAAGAGATATTTGTACTTCCAGGTTCATTGCTGCATTATTCACAATAGCTAGGATATGGAAGGAAGCTAGGTATCCATCATCACATGAATGAATAATGAAAATATTGTGTATATAAAAAATGAAATACTATTCAGCCTTTAAAAGGGGCTAAATCCTGTCATTTATGACAACATAGCATAATGTCCTACAAGTTTATCTAAGTGAAATAAGCCAGGCACAGAAAAGACCAATACCGCATGGTCTCATTTATGTGCAGAATCTAAAAAAAGTTGAATTCTTAAGGAGTAGCATGATGTTTACCAGAGGCTGGGGGAGGGACGTAGATGGGTAAAGGTGAGAATTACTGATCAAAGTGAGACAGAATAAGGCTAGGCCTGTGAACCAAAATGACTCTATTTTCCCTACAGAGAAGACTTTGTTACTTTTCCACTCCTCAGTCATGAGACCCCCCCAGGGCACATGATTAGCGCTCATGGCCTGCCCCATAAAATAAACTGAGATAAGAGAGGGAAAGATATTCACGGAGTTGCAAAACCTCTCCCCAAGGCTTGTTTACTGTAATTGTAAAAATTAAGTTTTTTTACAGATTTACCTTAAGACCTCTATAGGAATTCCCGCATGTACACAAAGCTTCAAGGTGACTGCTAGAATGACCTTCCTGGGGTGATGATGATGAACACCACCACCGTCTTGGACCTACTGAGCAGGTACAGGGACCAAAGCCTTAACTGAGCATGTGTCCATGATGCAACCAGGAAGAAAAAATGGACCACCTCCAGTGACACTGGCCTGTTCCCCTTAACTC